CCTCTCTCTCCCCCTCTCTCTCCCTCTCTCTCCCTCTCTCTCCCTCTCTATCCCTATCTCTCCCTCTCTATCCCTATCTCTCCCTCTCTATCCCTATCTCTCCCTATCTCTTGCACACATACACACACATACTCCCATGCACTACACTACCATTCATGTTGAGAGAAAAGACGGAAGCTTAGACCTCGACCACGCTAGTCTGTGGTAAGTTAAAGGAAGACCTATAAACGAAGTAAACTCACTAGCAAATATGAAGGTTATCGTACGATCTGCGGTTCCAGCTGGAGAGCAAAACCGCTACCTCTCTAGATATAACATTCGCTATTCCTAATTGAATAACGTCCGAACTAAATCAAATAGCATAACGCTCCCGGAATCAACATTCATTCACCTCACTCACTCTCTCTTTCTTTCACGCCACTCACTCATCTCACCTCACTCGTTCACTCAACACCAAGGATCTTCTCAAAGTTAAGTTAAGTCAATTCAATTATACGTTTATTTCGTGTCGAGTCTCAGGCCAACAGGCCTGTTCTTCCGCCTTATCACTCAAATTTCGTTATGCTCCTTTCAGCGTCTGACAAAGAAGTAAGGTATATTTCTGGGGACGAAACAGGTAATTTACATTTTGTTCAGAGAGCTTCTCTTGTTCAGAGAGCAGTTCTTTTAGTCTTGAGGATCCTTTACGTGCAGTAAATCTACATGAGACAGACGACTTTAATCCCCCTCCGAAGGAAGACGTACGAAAGATTTTGTCACCCTCTAAATTCCACGACTTAGATAGTGTTTGAACCCGGGAACTTGAGTACAACAGCCCGACATGCTAACCGTCCCATCACCGAAGCCACATGCTAAATATGTTTCCGCCGCCGAGATCCACGTTCGCCTCCACTGCGGCCTGCTCTGCAACCCACGAGGGAGTTTCACGCTCGTTCGCTCGCGCAGGCAGCGTCGTGGGGCAGGATGTTCCAGAAGCTTCTCTTTTTTAACGCGGAAACCGCACGTAAACCGGGAGCCCTTTTACGCCGCAGAAGCGAGACGAAGCAGGGCGCGAGGGAGAGAGGGCGGGAGTGGTGCCTGGCCAAGTGGAAGACGACTGAGAGAGGTCAGAGGAAGCTGCATATTCCGAGGCACTGAGTGAATATAAATATAAATAAAGTGGACGGGGATGCGCGCTGCCTGTCGCAGTGGGGGCGGGTGGTGGTAGGGGAGGGGAGGGGAGGTATGGCGGGGGTGCATACCGGTCGCGCTTGGGAGGGTTTTCGTACGTGCTTTATTGCGTTGGGATTTTGACCGCGAAATCCAGCGGGAGAGATTGGTGATGCATTTGCTTATAGTTCGGAGAGAGAATATTTCTAGTTCACGTTGAAACAAAAAGGAATTAATGAATATTACATTTTGGGAGCTTTCTTATTTTTTGACTGTTTTAATCTATTTATTTTTCAGTACGGTATCCTTTTTCCACGGTTTTTCCATATTTATTGTGTTGTCCTTACACTAATTTTGTTAATATTTCAGTTTCGTTATTTTGACCTTTTCTTTTCTTTTTAATTATTTTTATTCTCTCTACTTAAGTGTAGGAACTAATTTCACTCTAGCAGATGAATAGCGACAGAAAGGAATTTAAGTAAAGATAACTTCAAAACCAACAACGTAGTCTTCAGGCGTTATGTAAAGTTGAGTGAAGACATACTCTAAAGCAGACTGAATCAATTCCCACTTTGGACGTTTCTTAGGTTTGATTTCACAGAGAAATCGTACGAGCGGTTGAGTAAATTCAATTAAAATTGTAGAATTATTTTTTTTTAAATCTCTGATCGATACTTTTCCGTGCCTCCTCCGACCAACACTAGGCCAATGCCGAAGCAGTACCCTAAAAAATGGGCCACGAACCGAGCGCTCTCTTTCCTTCGACTGAGCCGGGAGGCCAGTTGGGAAATTAGAGCTTCTCGCGGATGAGGCGGTGTTCCGGTGGTGGGAGAAAGAAGGTTGCCCCGCTATCCGACATCTAGGTCCGTGCCAAAAGTCACCATGAAGCCGGTGAATATCTCCGCTACCCCACCTCCTCGCGATAAAACACGCACTACATTTACGGGACTAATGCCCTTGGTTGTTGAGGCGTCATTAATCGCTAATCAATCAATAATTGTTGTATATCGTGAGATAGTCGCAAGTTTCATTTGAACAATCCTCTTAGAGATTATAGTCTCAGCAGAGACGAATCTGCGTCCACGAAATGAGAGAACGATGCGGCGGGGACGACCACAAGAGCAAAAGCGCGCGCGGACCGTTGGCAGAGCCTCGTCTGAGAGCGGACTGTCAGCCTGCGGCGCCGGCAGCTGCCACGAGGGACACGGCCGCAGGCGGGACGAAGCTGCGAGGCGAAACGCAGCCGTAAAGGGTGAACGTGGGAAGCGCGTGTGGAGGGAATGGAAAGAAACAAGGAGTTTTAGTGAAGCTGAAATGCCCACACTCCCCACCGCTAATTTAAAGCGGGAAAGACACTACCCGGCGTGTGACTCATCACTCGCAGTTCTGCCCTTTGAGTGGTCTCCACGATCACATATAAGACAAAGAAAATTCTCCTTCAAGTTATAATCTTTTAATTGGAAGTTCACTTGAAGGGTGCACATTTTGTCTCAGTAAATTAGTATAATGCACGTTTAACTAGACAAACATTTTAGGATGCAGAAATTATAGAAACTACATAATGTTCCCTTGTACTATTCAATAACTCGAAGTACTTTCTACTTTGTCAGTTTGTTTGATGACGTGTCAATTATCAAGTATTATCGGAATATAAATAATCTGAAATATTCTAGGGCGGCTAGAGTATGCTACTTCAAAACTAAAAGCATAAATGAGGATAGGATTAGGATACCAAGATTGATAGGCCCGTAAGTATAGACCATGTTTTATCACGGTATGTGGTGGTATTCACCCCAGGTGAATGAACATTGAGAGCATTGAGAGTTAAGGTCGCAAGACAGAGTATAAATGTAAAGGAATCGACCAAGTGAAGAATTCACCTGCGCCTTGAGGAAGAGTGTAGAAAATTTGAACCTGATGGTGATGAGTGAGAAAGAGAGACATCGAGCACCATGGACGTAAGCTCAATTGGCTTCGAGAACTAACAGTTTATGCCGAGACCACATCAATCATTAGTAACAGATATGCAAGATGTAGTATGAGTAATAATTACACGATACATATTATATGTAGGGCTAATTTAATAACTATAAGATCTTACTACTGTGAAATTTGGAGGATTTTTCATAGCGCGCACTATGTAGACAAATATTAACTCATCAGATATTCGACGGACAATTGTGCTAAAAGGATCCCTTTAGAATCCCGCGCTGGAGCCTTACCAAATACGTTCTCATTAAAATGCGATTCAATAACCAAATCCCAGCACAACAAATATTTATTATACTTTCAGATATCCGAATGTGGTTTCTTGACGTTATTAAGTGTGTCACATGAAAGGAACATGATGTATATGAATATTTAGACGAAGATGACACGTCTAAATATTCATATACATCATGTTTGATCAAACGTCATAAAATATAATTTCACTATCGATGATTACAATAATATTCTTATGTTGCATTGAGCAACTTCACGCAACACGAATGTGAGCAGTGAAAAACCAAAGGTCCCTAAAATTCGCCCGCAGGGCAAGTATTGAAAGCCCGTCAAGTGCGTTGTCGTGTGCATCCGTGTATGAATTACAGAATACTCAAAACGCATTTTGAAATATTAAATGTCAGAAAAAATATTCGAGATTCTGGTAATTATTGTATCACACGTTCATGAGAGCACATCTGGTAATGACGACATGCCGAGCAGAACATGGCATCGATATCTGAGTGGTTTCTATTTTTGTACACAATGCGCTATGTTACATTTCGAATGTCTACAGAACGGTTATTTCACTCCCTTGTTAATGAGGTGTCAAGAGGTAGAATATAGTGGCAAGGAGGGGGAGGAAAGGAGCAAAATGTTCACCGAGTGCGAAAAAAACAAGTGCCCAAAATAAGAGCGTGGGTGGTGTGGGGGATGCGGGGTTGCCGGATGACTACTAACCGCACCGCCGGCACCGCCCACTTTCCCCCCTTTCCAGTTGTCTCCAACGGCTCGCCCCCAACAACTCCCGCTTAATCGTCTTCCCGCCACCTCTGCAAACAACCCACATCCTTCTTTCTACCCCATCCCCGCCCACGAAACCCCGCGATGATTGATTGTTAGTGATTCCGGGCGTGTCAACGGTTAAGGACATTACTCCTGTAAGTGTAGTTCATGCTTTTCTTGGGGGTGGCAACGATCTTTCCTCGCTCGATGGTGAGATCCAGCACCGACTTCACGTTGGCCAAATCGGTTTTTCCCAACCAACTCTCTCACCATCCCAGCCGGGAAAAGCTTTAAGCTCCCAACCGAAATTCCGGCGCTTGGTAGTTTAGTGCATGTAAGTATGCGTTGGGGCATCAGTTGACACCCTGAGCCACCTCACCCGGTAAAAAAGCCCGCGATTGTCCGC